AACGCTCTGATGTCTACTAATATTACCTTTAGGAATATAATTGCATATACCTGGCATTGCTAACGAATTTAAAAGATAGCGGCAATTAATCGGCAAAGATATAATATCTACTTAGTTTTACCTTTTTTCCGTGCTTCTTTAGTGTCTCCGTATATTTACCTATTAGGTATCTACCACAAATTATAGGTAACATGGAATGAGCCACAGGACAAAATATATACTTACCTATACTGATTCAGTTCTTCAGACCAAAAGAAAAAAGTCGATTCATTAGGTAGTGACGATATGCTATCTATCAAATCAGAAACTACTGAAGTAACCAATTTATGCAAAATTCGTGATTTAATATTGAAACTTCGATACTCAGAATTACAGTAAAGTTAACCTAAGATCTTCCGCTATTTTGTTTATGTAACTATATAACGATAAATTGCAATGCAACACAATTTAGGAGAACGATATTTCGATATTGCCCCCAACGGTACTCTACATCGCTTTGTGTTTTCTGTTTCTAGTTTACAAAGGCTTGCTAATGTAGCTATTTATTTCAAAATTATTTTGAACTTTGGTTTTCATAGATAAATAAATTCAAGTATGATTGTTATATTAATTGATTTGAGTTAATTTTGAGATATGAGAATTGTATTCTAAAAATTTAAAAGCCAAAGTCAATACTAACGCCATCTCTGATCACCCCACATATTTTACTTGTACGTAGAGGTAACTTAGTAAAACATACTAAGCGAGTTCGGTAGAAATTTGATAGATGGCGCTGTTTTCAATACTATGAAACAGCACCTTTTGCTTTCAAAAGTTAGTACCTGGATGACCGATATTTTTTTTGGTAAATTTTCGATTTCTGGAGATTCGATTATATAAATGTACAAGAATTGCTCGTTCAGAGGTATTAGATTAACGTTTTGGTCTGTATAAAAAAAATGGCATTTCCCAAGAAATGCATATAAAATCCATCCATATCTAAAAAACTTCGTTGGTTGACATTTAATCCTGTTACAGGTCTTATAATTTTGTTCCTGCCTACATTATTTCAAAAAACTGAATATATTTAAAGCTTTTTAGTATAAATACAAAGGGCCGACCTAATTCAGGACCATTCGACGAGTGACATTGGTTGATAAAAAATAATTAAATCTAGATATATTGATATCTGCTCCTTCATATGCAATTCCTCACCTGCAACTAAACAGGATTAAAAGATGGCTGGTTGGAAATGAGTGACTGCACGGATGGCGTAGTGGTTTAAGCGGTCGCCACGCCGCTTCCTACTACGCCGAGTGTTGTGGGTTCAAACCCCACATGGGACGACACTTTGTGTGATCCACAAATTGTTGTTCTGAGTCTGGGTGTTCTTTGTGTCCGTTTCATGTATGTTTGTAAAGTCCCCCGTGACACAGGATTTATTCCTAATGCGGGAGCTGTCTTTTAAAAAAAACAAAAAACATAAGATTTATATTCGGCAATTTTTACTGATCTGATTTACAGTTTTGTTTGTATTAAGCTATTAAGAAATGTTTTAGTAAAAGATAAAGAGGCAAATACCTACGATAAACTAAACATGTAATGAATGCGTATATTTGAACTAACGAGTAAAAGTAACGATTTGAATGTACCTAACCTATCCTCCCAACAACTCCACTAATATAATTATGTAAGTGGTCAGAAGATGAATTGAATAAACTCGTTTCAGTGGATGTTCTTGGATGAAAGCGAACCGAGTAACTAAAGAACATAAGAAATATACAGTATAACGTGAGAGGGGTGAAAGTAAGGGGATTTCTGATATCAGTTGACAAAAACCTTTGGACCGAGCGTCTGCAAGAACTTTTTTCTTGACAGAGACAGAAATTAGCAGTGATTGACGGCATCAGGTTTAAAAATGATTATTTTAAAGTAACTACGAAAAGCTAGAAATGTTCAGGAGCTTTTTAGACCAATGATTTAAAAAAAAAATTCGCAGGTTTGTCAGCCATTTTTAGAAATGGGAGATAATTATAGACAAAGATACTTTTTTCATAAAGCCCATAAATAACTGGTCAGCTTCAGTTTTCTACCATACAAGTACTGTTAAGGCACTGATACTTGTTGAATCCACGGATCGGAAGGACTTTGAAAGGTGGCGCTTTGATAAATACGTCAATAAGTTGCCCCGAGGCTTGTCAACACTGCGTCCTTACTTGAGCGACTTTCTAGCGAAGTAAGGCCAACTATGGTGACTATGAGACAGCTGTACACGATTGTCCAGTTGATTTCACATTGATTGCGCTCCACATGTTATAGCATCTCTCATTGATCATATTGATCGTGGCAGCATGAGCATCCGTGGGAGCACTCTTTGGGGATAAAAGGTGGATGTGCTCCCAAAGTGCCGTCAGAAGCAGTTAGAGTACTAGTTGACAGTCCCAGCTGGTGAATCCTCGTGCTGGCTTTGTCGCCGCAGAGGTGTTTCAGTAGCCAGTCATTTTGTATTATGTGGCAAAGAGCTTTTGATGAAATATTTAAAGAGATTGTCTTGCTACTAGCTGTCGTACGATTTTTATTTTTTCCGCGAATAATTTTTATTTTGACCGAAGTTTTACCGCGGTCGTGTCCTTCTAGATGATATTATCTCACAAGAGGTGACGGAGGAAGATATCTACTTGAATGAAAAGACTCGGATGATTTGAAATCATATTTCTCAAGCTCAAATGAAATTCAATACTTTCATAAATAATAAAGAATCCTGGACCTATATTGTGAAAGGTGATCTTTTGCACTACTGATTTATTATTGGTTTTGGAATATCTATAGTCAATTATATCTATTGTTTTAAATTATAAACATGTTCTAAGAGATAGATCTCTAACAACAAATATTTATTCTGTGTTATAAACAAGCGCCAAGTGCCACCGAGTGCTGGGCGATGTCGTTCCGTATATGTTTTCGTATACCATGATTAATTTTATTTTTTGAAGATACTCTTAATCAAATTTTATTTCAATTGGGCAAGGATGGTTCACGGATGATATAACTTTATAGTACTATCATAGTATCCATATACATAATTATATGTAAATGATAAATGTGATTAAAATGCAGACAAGAAAAAATGTCTTGTTTTTTATTTCTCACAAATTGGCAACTGGTTACATGGCCTAATTTAATAATGCCAATAAATATTCGCAAGACTGGTAAACAGTCATCTGATATACAGACAGTTATCCCACTGAAAAACTTAAGGCACTACAAGCAAAGGTTATCTTGGAAACGTAAACGAAAATACCCACTAAACACAATCCACTAACCAGTCTCCATATATTTGAATTAAATCTTTCTTGTTCTATGTAAAAGTCAATTGTGAATTAGTGCCTTTTATTCGGCACATTCAAACGGGTTGTTTACGAACTAATGAAAAAAAAGGTGAAAAATTCTGCATACTCAAACTATGGCTACAATTTAATAGTCGCAATTTTCGACGGTGTCATAAGGTCGTTTAATATGGTTATAAATGTAGCATAGTAGTGCGTAGCCTTATTTATCAAACCAGGTCTTATCGACATTCGGACAATAAGTGCTTTCTGTTAATCACGTGACACGTCAGCGTGAGGCTTGTTCAGAAAAGAGTTTGATTAATCATTTTATGGTTGTAATTGCATTATACACCACTAATGTATGCAATGATGATAATGTATACTTCAGAACACCGTTCAAGTTGTTTTATATTTGTTGATGTTTTACTGTAGCATGCTACATACACTTTTTTTATAACATAATGGTAAACGAATTAGCTTGGACCACCTGGTGTTAAATGGTGCAAGTCAAGGACAAAAGCGCTTCTGTGAGGTCATGGTATCACTCCTCAGCAGTCGATACGGTCCACGACGCCAAAGTATGGCTCTCACACAAGTCTGACAAGTTGGTTCCCTTATCCTTATAGTAAAGTAACCATCTGTAACAGTACTGAGAGAGCCGACCATTTATGCATATACAACAATAACTGTTTGTGAAACTGCATTCGTTTAATTTAATTGCCACTGTTTAACACTTAAGGGGCATAGGCATAAATAAACTGCCTTGGCCATAATATAGAAACAAACTGGTTACAAAATTGTTTGAATGTTGTTAAGATAGTCCCATGAATTTATAAGCCATGAAGATAGCCTCAGAGCTCTGGTGAGTAAGGAGTCTGGTGGGAGGCTCTGTAGCATCCACTCGGATAAAGTGGGGTACCTACTTGGTAGCCCGGAGGATCGGATCACTGATTTCTACCTACATACATTATACAGTATATGAATAAAACCTTAAAAAAAACTGTTCTAACTACAAAATAAGTACACTAGCGAAGATAATTGGAATAGCTTGGAATTAATTACAAATCGATTTGCCCAAAAATAGAAATTACTGACAAAACTTTTACAAATCAATAATACTTTTACAAACTGTATATATTTTGTCAACGAAGTTACTTTGTCACCAATTTCTTGATTAGATTTTCATTTATTTTCAAAATGATACCAAAAACTATATAGATAAATTCAATGGTATTATTCAATGGTAATAGTATTATTCAATGGTATTATATGATGCTTTGTTGAGATGCTTAATAAAATAATATTAAGCATCTACACGCATGGATTTTCTATTCATAAAAAATACGGTACTCTATTCGGTCTAACAATGACCAAAGCAACCATAAAACAATTTAGCTTTGTGCCATAAACTATATCAACAACAGCAAGTCATCGGCACAGCACAGTTTTGAGTAAAATCATAACATTGGACGCAGCAATCGCCAGTGTTACGAAAACAACGTCCACGGACTGATCAGTAGCTCCGCAATTTTCATTCCAATAACGTTGCCTACGCTTCGGTGATCTTTATTTTTTTAAACCAGCCCTTCACTTATAAACTTTAAATAAACATTTTTTTTTTATATTTATACGGAGGTGGATTATGTTGTGAATAGGTGGTTTATTGAAGGGATGTGAATTACTGGACTGGAAATGCATTGTAGGATATTCATCGTTTTCGCGATCTCGGTCGTCATCACCATCCAGGTAAGGATTTTTATATCTTTTTTGGATGTTTTATATTTATTTGAATATTAAATAATTAAATTTAAACATCAGTTTATGTAACCAGGTCCATCGTTGTACGATAGTTGTGAGTCGATCCAATAATCTATCGAGCTTTGTTGAAGGGGCATATTTATTTAACTTAATGCACTAGTTGTACAAAGGCGGACTTAATGCCCAAGGCTCGCTCGAATTCTCTGCCAGTCGACCTTCGGGTGATGTAGAAAAATGAAGCTGTAGGTGCATATTTATGTGTATTTCTACTATATAGGACTAGATATATATTTTCTGATTTTTTCTTCAGCTTTACCATACATATCGTGTTTAAGTTTCCAGTTATTTAATTAAAAGTTAATGAATAATGTATCAATTTCAACTTTTATTTACGCTTAGTAGTTACGCTCGTGTAAAATAGGAACTTTAAATCATTTTCAAAACTAGTATAAATATCAAACAACGAAAATAAATAATAACAACTGTAATGTATCTACTTCCAAACTGACATATCATCATCATCATCATCAACAGCCTTTCCTAGTCCACTGTTGGACATAGGCCCCTCCTTAGGTTTTGGCCTACTATACCACGCTGGCCAGACGGGTTGGTATAGGGTTTGTTTCAAGTTTTCCTTCTCTCTGCAGTGCTGTTGTCCTACGTAGTTTGCTTCCTTAGTCGCCTCTTACGACACCCACGGGATGAATAGGGGTGGTGACACTCTGTATTCTTAATCCGTCACCACACGGACACTGACGGAAACTGATATAATATACATAATATAATGACTTGCATCGGATCTACTGCAAGCTATAGGTAATTTTGTACTCAAAATGGCATTTAATTATTATATTATATTATAAAACATATAATTTGTTTACTATAGAATAGATTAGAAGCCAACATTTACATTAATAGTAGGTATCTGAACAAAATCTTAAAAGCATGGAGTCATAATTAATACTAAATAATTATTACTTAATTGGTTGAGTTTGATAACGTTAACGATACACATCAATCTTCTACTTCTACAACAAATAATGTCATATTTGCCTTTTAAACTTGTAAAGTCAAGTCTACCGATTGACTTGATTGAGTTATTTTATGACGACATCACTCGCGTAAGAGTATCTTTTCCATCTCACGATAACAATAGGGATAGGTCCGTTCAACTAGTGGTTAGTGACCCTGACAGCCAAACCGGAGGTCGTAGGTTCCAGGAAAATATTTAAGTATTTTAATCAGTAGTCTGGATATCATAGCACAGGCTCAGCCTAGTTTGAGATCAGATTACCATGTGTGAGATGTCATAAACAGTCTTTAACAGTCCACTGCTGGACATAGGGTTTGTGTCAAGTTTTCCTTCTCTTTGCAGTATTGTTGTCCTGCGTAGTTTGCTCACTTAGTTGGCTCTTACGACACCCACGGGATGATTGAGGGGGTGATAAACCGTATTCTTAATCCGTCACCACACGGACTGTGTGTGAGATATATGAACTTGATTTTAAGTTATGAATATTAATATTTTTGGAACATAAAATGAACTCTAAGCTCTTCAATGTATCCCAAGCAACGTGTAAGTAAAATTTTACGATGATCTAATGGCGGTACGGCAGCGCATAAAATAAGAAAAAGCTCTAAATGCTATAAAATTAAAAATACCTTCGTGAGTTGGCTGACCTATATACAAATCATTCTTTGTAGAGCTGAGAGTTTAAATGCAGCTAGGGTAAAGGAGTATTTAGTTCAAATTAGCCTCATTAGCCTTGACTTGTTGCATTTATGGTAACGTTCATATGTAATATACGAGTAAAGATGACTAGCTTATGCTCGCGGCTTCACTCGCATTAATAATTTTATCCAGGATGAAAAGTAGCCTTTATCCTATTCCAAACCATAATCTGGTTTCTGGCTTGATTAAGTAACAGACATCCATCCAAACTTTCATACCTACTTAAAATGAAAGTACAGATGTACAGATACAATACAAAAACTTACGCGTACACTACTACACGCGTAAACAAAATCGTATATTGATGTGAAAATCTTTGTTAACATAAGAATTTTCACCATAAAATAACGGCAAAAAGTAACTTATAACGTCTAAAACTGTCTAAAAATATTAATATTGATTCACATACATTTAAAATGAGAAATCTTTTATGAATAACGATGAAAACGTTACTCATTCATACGTGTGATGAGTAATTGTAAGACTCATCAACATCTAAACAAATAAACACGCATGTTCATTTGTTTAGATTTTAATGATATAAATTGTTATTTCATTAAAATCTAAACCATTGGGTAATTACTGTCAAGTTTGTCATAACTATTGTTGTTATTTTGGTTTTTAAAACCAAATCAAAACAATCAATTGATCATTTACTCACCTCTGTAGCAAAGTAAGGTAAACATGAACATAAAAATATTCCCGTACAACATATCAACAAAGTTCACCTACCCTTAGTTTCTTGAATACAATATATCAAAGCTAATTAGGCTATGAAATTTGCTTTATGTTTTCGTAAACGTACATTGTGAAGGGCAATTAAAAAAAACTTTTGAGTAGGTCTAATAAATAGTAACGACGGAGAAATAATTATTTGACACCGCTGAGGTCCAATTCAAGTCTTCACAGGCTACAATATCCCGAGATAGTCATTACGATTGGAATTAATTTTCCATAGCTAATAGTATATCACTCATTTTTATAGAAAATAAACAAATATTTCTAAGTTTCATCGAATTTTTAGTTTTGATAACCAAAGCTTTGTTTTCTTGCAGACGACCGATTTCCAGGATAACCTTATACAAGGTTATAGATCGCTTATCGCCGACATTCAAATGCGCACACAAAAGTCCCGGGAAGACATGGACACACTTGTGTCCCAAATAAAACTGCTCATGAAAAATGAAGCAGACAAAGCGATTAACTACATGACCGTTTATCTTGAACAAATATCGTTATATTTCCAAGTGAGTATGCACGGTATATTTATTTTAAGGAATTTCTCCTCTATGTTGATAACGATTTTGTATACTATTTTGGCGTATTATTTTTTGTATTAATCAGAATATCTTCTTCCTTTAAAGTTGATTACAAAACTGTATAAGTAATTTTTTTAGACTCAAATATAATAAAAATTCATCCCATCAAAGATCTAAAACCGAGAATACATGTGCTTTCATACTTGATCATTCTAATTTTCTTTTTAATTGTTTTTTTTTCAAATGTCGAATTCACTATTTACTGCTGAGTTGTATTTTGTTTATTTGTTTATTTTAATTTGCATTTTTTTTTAATTTTCAAAAAACTTGCAGGTAGTATTTTAGTTTATAGATAAGTCCACCTTATGCAATTATAAGGTGGACTTATCTATAAACTGCATTTAAATATGTTTGCACAAGACATGTTAAGAAATTTCTCTTCTCCCCAGGTGATCATACATGACCGCAAACCCCGCAACGGGACACATTGCAAAGAGAGCATAGTAAAACTCCTTGGAGAAAATCTGCAGTTGGCCGACGAGAATGTGACATTATGTCTCGCCCTTGGCTATCAAAGAGTGCAACGATTACCAGGTATATAATTTACACATAAACCTACCACTACAGTATTTTAATAACAACAGCTGCATGCTTTTCTGTTGTTATTAAACTAGCATGTTATACGTAGAGTATATGAAGTGACAGGCACTAAGTTATTTGCTGTAAATACTCGAAAGGAGGTCAGTCAGTGTAACTAGTAAACATGTCATTCAATAATCATAGACAATATAAGCTTACAAACGTATACGTGTTGTAAGTTTACATCTATCGCTCTTGCTGTTTAATACTAACTTCCTGTTTATATTAAAATCGGCCGAGTGTGCGTTTACGTACACACAAATAACAAACACACATAAGCATATTGACTAAATTCCGCCAACACGAATAGCTTTCGTGTCTGCCTGCTTTTAGTGACCTTTGTAAATGTATATATCTTGGTATAGAGATATAATAAAGAATGAAGATGAGGAAGATAAAAAGGACACAAAAGGATAATTCTTTGACTGCGTGTGGATAGGAAATGTGTTTAGGAATGAAATACTTATGACAACCACAGCAACAGAAGTGTTATCAAGTCAATCTACATTTGTATATACGTCCGTCTTATTTTGGGACATTGTTCCTTGTTTATAAGGCGACATTTCCGCCATTATGACAATACAGGTAGCGTCCAAAACAAACCGCGAATGATACAAGTACTTTGTGAGTAAATCTACCCGATTGATTATCGTAAATGTGTTTGTTTTTTTTTTTCATTTGAAGCTATTGTCTCTGTAAAGTGTGGTTAAGATGTCATTTTTTCGATTAAACAGTAATTTTTATAGATGGTTTTATCAATATTGTTCATTTGCAATTAGCTTGAATATTCTTAGTTAACCACAAGAAATAAATCAACATATTTTTTCACAGAAAAATTAAACGTTCATTTTGAAACGCTGGACAATTTGAAGAAATATTCAGCTTCAAAACTATTTGAATGTCAAAAACAGCAGCAAGTCGGCGGGAATTGCTCTCACGAGAGTCAAGATCTCGAGAGGACCGTGGTAAGTGGCCCGTCTTTGTTCGTTAAATTGCATGTTCTACCTGATTTCGGCATCCCTTCGATTTGTTTATGTAAACTCAACGTTTCAAAGGGGAACGCCTTCTCCATTCTTCCAATATTCTTCCATTTAGAAATATTGGTGGGCATTTAAGAACGGTTTGTTATTGCTTAATTCAAATCTTAGAATAATAAAATAACGTTACGTTTATTTATACCGTTTTAAAAAAAAAAACTTAATATGTTGTCCCTGTCACTCAAAATTATTTTAATATCCTTTTACTATTATCTTTTTTTATCTCGACGTTGGTTATTTTTAAATAACCTTCTTTTTATATTGTTTACTCTAACAACTAATACATAAAAACATGATAGTGTGTATATGTAAATTCCTCTTTGTATTAAAAACGAACGCGTGTGTGTTCAGGTACATGCAAGCAACAAACACACATATATAGATAGATAGACTAAATTCAGTTAACGGTAACGAAAACAGAAAATATATATTCTTGAACTAGTCTAGTTTCATACATTAACAAAAACAAGTTTGAACCTATAAACTACTCGGAATAAATTTAGATATCATTACATACCTACCTACAACTGGTGACATAGATAGATAAGCCAAGAACCTTCTTTACGTGAGTAACTTAGCAGCTACTTAACGAGTATCCAATTTATATTTACACTTTCTGAAACGAATGTTAAATGGTTTATTGAACTCTGATAATATCGATTTTCACCCTAGAAGCATCTTAAAATTCGGACCTTTTTATGCAGTTAAATAATTCATTAATAATAAAAAAACAAAACAATTAGACAATAAGTAAATTTATATCTAATTAGGTAAATAGATTTTTATTCCACGTCTTACAAAACATGAGTACGGGCGTTATTAAGAACGGACTAAATGTAATAATTATGTTGAATTGAAAATGTCGCTATACATATTTATATATTTTATGTAAAAAAACACTGCCCTAAAAAAATTACATTGCTGTAATCTAAAACTTACTTTCAGTTTTCTTATTTATCCGCAAACTACCTTTGTTTGAGAAAGGCTGATTAAAATTCGTCATATAACACGTTTTGTTGGATTTTACATTTGTTTAGAAAACACACACAAGTTACTGAGATTACTATTGCACTTTCTTTTACCAATCTTGAATAAAAATTTAGTGCATCTTGATAATAGTTTAGTATTATCATAATAATATATATAACTTATATCACATCGTGAGCTACAATTACTTTAAAAAAACTATGAAAATAGTGTTACGAGTATACTATTATTTATAAATAACTTCTTTACTTAGGTAACTACATATTTGATTGACGTATTACTGAGGTATCGATAGGAAATGTTTATACAACAGCTAGATTGTTTATGAGACAGGTAACTCACACTTGCTTGCATTGTTTAATGTTCAATTTATAATAAATTAGTAGCAGTGGAACTTGTGAGTAAACGAAATAACTTTCCTTGAAACACTCTTGATCTCGACTAATAAATGTTATAATTGAATGAAGACATACTAGATTTTGTTTGAAAAGATAAAAGTAAATAAGTGTGAGAGCACGGAGAAGGAAGCGCAGCGTTAACTTAACTGACAATGATAATATTAACGGTTGCGTTTTTCAATCACATTTCTTATGAATGCAAAGTGAATCTTAAATTCAGGCCTACGATTTAAGAGTAAAATTATTAAAAACCTACCTTAAACCATCCTGATATAGAGCATTTTAAAGCAAAACCAATTATTACTCTTTGTCTAACTGTATTCGTCACTTTTGATGGAATTCAAACACTTACAAATAGTAATTTTAATTTTTCAGTTTTTATATGAAACATCACCATTCCCGGTGGTGATGGCAGAAATAGCAATCCATGGCTTCAAAGAAGTATCAGATCTGAGCGTATGCCTCAAAGATATCATCTCCAGGATGATGACACATTCAGTCAAGGTCATCGGAGACTTCAACAGGTGTATTCACAATATTGAGATGCCAAAACTTAAATATTTATTAAAATTCATGAAGAAATATGCTTGATGAATTTCTTAGGTGATGGTAAAAGGGCTGCCACTTTTGAGCTAATTATTTTACATTGTTTTTAATTAACACGGTTCAAGTAGGTTTTTAATGGATTTAAAAGTCTCAAAATAATAGTATTTGTATATAATAACTATTCATTTAATTACTAATATTTAACTAAAAAACATAAAATATGTATTAAGGTTTCAAAAATATTAGTTGTGGCAACCCTAAGAATGAATGAAAAGTTGGAAATGTGTATTGACAAATGTAAATAACGAGTACTAATAACCAGTATATTTAAATATTCGAAATTTATTTTTAGGGTTATGTTATAATAATTGGTTAATAAAATAAAGAAACCTAACTAACAACTGTTTTTTATTTACTTTACACCATTCGTTGTAACCTGCAAGTAATCATTAAATAGATAGTTTTTTATTTCATTTTCTTATATGAGCTTACTGCATTTTTTTAAACAATGTTATCACTTGACCTGCTTATAAAATCTATATGTATTAAGCTCTACAATTTTTTTAATAATTTTGAAAACTAAACCCAAGCCACACACGAATAGCGCTTACTACACGACAGTAAGTGCGAAGTAATAGGGAAGAAATCTATGAGATTCTTGACTATTATACCAGTTCAGGTAGTCTATTGTTAGTCAGTTTCAAGTAAGTTTAGGCTATATGTAAACACTTCATCGTCTACTATAGCAACTTAAGTGGCCGATGAGTTAGTACGTGGTAATATCTAGGTAAACAATGTTAGCCACAAGTACTACAATGCTAGGAATAAATAAACCAAGAAAGTAATCTTTGCAAGTCATTCATCAGGTATATAGTTTTAAAGAAGCTTTACTAAAGAATAAGTATATTATTAAACTAGAATAAGTATATTCTTAACTTATAACTAAATCTTGAGTTTATGAAAACTTCTATGTCACTACATTCTTATTCGTTGTGTTTTATTCAACTCTGTGAGTTGATTGAACTTTAACAACACTCAACTTAATTCTGACAGTACTAACGCAGGCAACGTTAGCGATTTTTTTTGGAATTACTTGTAATTTTCTTTTCTGACGTAACGCATACTTTTAAAACTTTTTTAAAATTCATAGACTGATTAAATTTCGATTTAAAAACTAACACGGAGGACAAAACATTTGCATAAAAACATCTACTCAGTATCAGCTAACTTTACATAATATACTTATCAACTTATTAAGCTGTAATATCAGGTACTTGATTGATATATACACCTATTAGCCATGCACTTCAGTGGAACGATATCGAGTACAGCGAAATTATGGGCAAGTGTTTTAGATAAAACGGCACAGCGACAAGCGAGGTAGGGTACAGCTAGTATAATATAGAAATATAACATCAGCAACCTTTACTAGTCCATTGCTGGACATAGGCCTCTCCTTAGAAAGGAGGTTTTGGCCTACTATACCACGCTGGTCACGCTCCCTTAGTCGGCTCTTACGACACCCACGGGATGAATAGTGGTGGTGACACTCTATATTCTTAATCCGTCACCACCCATAGATAGATAATCAGAGTTATAAAAATACTAAAATCGTTCCTTTTTACATTTTAATCTTCAAAAAACCCATGAATTAACCAGCTCTAATAATGATTGTAGTGTATTAAACAGATATGTTTTTTTTTCAAAATTAACAATTTCAATAACATAAAAAACAGTTGTTTTTTTAATTGTTTGCCCCCTATACGATAAAAAAGTTTCAAATACACACCTCTCAGTCAGCAATCTATAGATACGTAATCACATAAAAGGGAATCGTTTTATAGAAATGTTAGCATTTTTATGATTTCATCTCACAAGAACTACATTTTTCTTTTGTAGTGCGTTATGCGATTTATAAGTGTTATTTAAGGGTTTTCCTATATGCCATATTTTCTATATAGAAAGCAAACTTAGGTAAACGTGGTTACTTGATATCGATACAAGTATTTAATCAAAATATGCAATTTTAATTTTGCTAATATAATAAAGTAATAAAAACCTTATAAGTTATAACACTATTTTCAATCAATAATAATTATTATGAAAATAAATAACTTATAAGTATTTAGTATTAAACATACATGTTATTCTATTGAAAAAAAAACATTGTACAAAAACATTATAAGGATAGGTGTGTAACGACATTGTTCGAAAAAATATTTTTTATGTAGGTTTTATATCTAATGAACTATTTGAACAAATGAACAAATTTTGAAAAAGAACTACATGCATAATAAGTATAAATTTAAATATGTCAACATATATTATACCTAATTAAAGCTGTGTTACTTTTATTAATACATAATAGATGGGATTCGGATAGAGTGAATACCTAAATTGATTATATAAACCTTATCAAAATTCAAAACATTTGTTCATCAGTCGAAAAAAAAAAAGTTACCAATTAATACGCTTTAAAATGTAAGAATGATAAACAACTACTTGAGAGCTTTAATAATTCCTCATTGTATGTGTGTGTACAAGTTATGTACATAGTAGGGATAATATTGGATTATCCCTTTGTTAATGGCTTAACAGCCATTATCTATTATCTGACCTTCATGTGCAACGCTATACGCAATTGTATGGTAAAACCTGCATTTGAACACTAAAATTTGTTCGATGTCAGGTAAGACTGTATTTGGTTGAAAACCTACAGGAGTTATATTGTAATCTGCGACACTTACCAGAGTTATGAAAACATCAGCTGAACAAGGCTGGTATTTGAGGAGTCTGCTAAATCTTAATGTTCTCTGCGCCATTGTAAGCGGACCTACGGGTCGAGACACGTGTATGAGCGGAGAAGACGGCGGTCGCGACGGCGGAGTCAACACAGGCGGTACATTACGTCGCACAGTCTCCAAAGGTACAGTCCTAGCAACGAGAGTGTCACTGCCTACAGAATTAGCACTACCACTGAATATGTTCATTAAATCCCCTATTGAACCACCTCCGCTTGAACCACCTCCACAACGCAACTTGTCTAAATCAGTCAAACTCGATCCACGCCGAACGCGAAGACGAGAGCTGCTGGGATTCGAGCGATTTTGAAATACAGTTCCCTGATCTCGGCGGACATCAGCCTCGCTAATGGCCTGACATTTTCGGCTCCGAAACATTTTGCAAATGCAACACCACGCATGAATGTCAACAATAACACTGCGCGTTAACACCTGAGCGCGAAGAATTAGCATACAAACGAGCGAGGTGCGCGATATCAATAGGGCCACGGTCGCCCGCAGGATGTCGCTATCGCGTCCTCGTGAGTTTCCGCCGCCATCGCTTGCGCAATATACTAACTTCCATACGGCGAATCGTCACACTTTTTATTTTTCTCTGATTTTTATTGAAGGGTGCGTACACAACCAAGTCTGTAAAGAGACTGAGCGGGAAACCGCAGTTTCGCATGTGCGTATGTATGGACCAACCGAGCTGAACTAATGAGGTGATCGGCTTCCAAAGCGTCAGGGGTCTCTGCAGGCGGCCGCAACTACTGCGATAATATCGGTCTGATCCAAGAAATAAAACTGTTCCTACACAACAATTTATCCTTATCCGAAGTATTTATTCATTGTATATAAAAAGTAAGAGTTTTTCAAGGTTTTGTATTTATCATATTTTGATTAGTTTTAACTAACTTTAAATGTAATAATTTAGTGGCTTGCTAACATTATTGGGTAAAGTTATGTAACTTGTACACGTACGATCAATAAATAGGTGTCAAAATAGACAAAAATAATTGAAAACGCTCGTCCATTCGAACTGTCGCTTTCTTCTCAAAAGATAGATTATGTTGTCTTTCTTAAAGGTCTTTGCGTCTCTTATAAATAGGGGATTTAAAATGTTATAGTGTTTTTTTATACAAACTAGAGACAATGTATGTTATATTTAGTTATTATAGTTTCAGTTATCATTGGTTTTAAGGTGAAATAAATAAATGAGTATAAGGTAAATTCGATAAGTTATCACGGCACACTATTGAAGATAGATGTAAGTAAAACTTTGGCTTTAATAAACTTCTGCTTCTTACCTTTAGTTCAATATAATTGGTAACAATGTCAAATATGTCGAAATATACAAGGTTCTGATGCGTGGTTTAATAAGAACAAATATATGTATATTATCTCTAAACCGCTAAGGAATTGTATCCTCTTTCTAGATTTGAGATAACAATACGAAAAAAGTATTTATAAAAATAAATTAGAAGGCATTTCTTTCTCAGTAAATAGTAGTTTTGATTACACCATTCTTATTTAAAATATTTCTTTCTTAAATAAAACAGTATCTTATAAAATCGAATAATTTAAGACAACGCATATAAAGCGAAGAGTTCATCCTTTTACGCGCGAACATTAAAAGTAGGGCAATTAAAACTAAGTAAAGTCCAGCAACTGTAAAAAGCTTAAAGTGAGTTTCATACTTTGTTTCTGAAAACATTTGCACACTAAGTATGTTGAGAGTGTTACCCGAGCTACGTTATCGCAATTAAATTAAGTGTTCCTCTCTATCCACACTATTTAATTTATATTGAAAGACTATTATTTATTACCACACCATTGGCTTTGCAGCAACCGTACATATTGCCGTGCTCAGTATTTTACGTTAACTGTGATTTTGTAACAATCATCGTTCACTTTATCTTCGGCAAGCGTATCTTGTACCATTATCATAAATCATTTCATTTTAGTGCGTGATAAATAGTTTACAAGTAAATCATCAAAAAAACAAGAAAATCATCATCAAAATCATTCCGATCCTTCGAGCCGGAAATATTTCTTATGACATAAGAAAAAATAAAGCTAAAAATTTATCAAAATTTTTAAGATTCAATATATATTTTATCAATAGTAACCACTGATGTTGGTACCGCTACTATTTTTCTTTCCGTAACTCTTTCATGAAACTAAAGTCTATCTCTACATTTAAAGGGTGACTCGGTAAGAGTGCACCTTTTAAATTTATTTATTTTTTTTCGTGCAAGTGGCAACTCTGAAATTTGACAGCTGTCACCCATGTTTATTCCGATTATTAAAAATGTAGCGTTTTTCGAAAGAACAACGCGTTATAATTGTGTAAAAACTCATCATCATCAAACTCACGAAATTCTGATGTCAACTGGCCACCAAGATCTTGCGATTTAACGCCGTGCGATTATTATTTTTTTGGGGTTTTGTGAAATCTCGAGTTTATGCGAAAAAACCAGAAACAATTTCTGAGCTCAAATCAGAGATCTAACAAAAGAGTAATGGCGTCATCAAAGCCATGGAGGCTATTTTGCCGGATATTTTATTCCATACTTAATCGGAACATGTCTTCTTTACAATCCAATAAAAAAAACAACTCCTTCATAAAATACGTGTTTTTATTTTAAAATGTAAAAGTGCACTCTTACTGCGACGCCCTTTATTTCGATTCCAGATTTCGATTTAGGTTGGAATCATACAAACAAATTAAAAAGTTTGATTTATGACTCGTGTGTGAATAATTCTTTTTAAAAACCATAAACTGCATAATCAGTAGATACATTATTTATGTACATTAATTTTTATTGTACAGTATTTCCGAATTATTTAACTTATTCATTTAAGCATTCAAACTAAAAAAAAATACACAACACTTGATGAAATTGTGAAACATGTCCTTCTGAACATTTTAAATCCTAATGGCATTGCATTGTGCATGTCAATTCACCAACTAAATATTTTATTATTAAAAAGTACTTTAAAGGATTTTGATAATAATTTAAAAAGATCGAGTAGGTATGTCAATATTTAATGTTTATGTCTATAAACATCGGTTATTACAGAGAGAGAGACATTAGACGTTCGTATTATTAGATCATTGAATTTTTTTTTTTTTTTTTTTTTTTTTTTTTTTTTTTTTTTTTTTTTTTTTTTTTTTTTGCTGCCACTGCTGGACTCAGGCCTCTCCTTAGAAAGGAGAACTTTTATTAATTAAAAAAAAAGGAAATCATAACCCGAAAGCCGGTACGTGATTCTCTTTTTTTTTGCAAAAGTGTTGAGACAAATTTATTCCATAAATAATATTTGCCTAGTAATCGTATAATTAGTCGCCGTCATATCGTCTGGAAAAGTTGCAACTTCTTTTAGAATACATTATCCTTTACATTCTAGTAACTGACGATAGACATTTTTTTAATTTTATAGTAATATAAATCAACCGTTAAAAAGGGTATTCAATTTAAGTTTAGATTTTTATGGCATATTTTGGCTCCCAGTCTCATAGACGATGAGGATCTGGAAAGGTAACGGAGGGCGTTGTCCGTGAGAGTGACCACGTTGACCCCCACGTTTACTCGAACACATTGTTCGAATAATGTCAAGATCACACTCTTCAGAGCATACTGCACGTCTTTCTATAGATGCAGCCTGTGGGCTAGATATAATCGAAAAACATACAACTCCCTCCATATCCAATACTACAATATGCATTTGGGGTTGGGGCTACCCCGCTTCTGTGGCCCATCCGGGATGTTCGCAGAGGCGCGAGTAGACTGCTTGCACACTATTATGCGAAAACAGTGTTCATCTTTGGTGCTTTGGTGCGGGCTAGCTCTAACAGCATACTAGCCATGATTGCAGAGAGGTTAGATTGCAGACACATTGGTCACTGCAGCGCCGTCTCTTAAGGACTGCATAAATAAAATAATGTAAATTGTCTCTACGAACATAGGGTAGGTTTTATGTATTACCAACAATCAATGAGTCATGGCTACTCTAATAAAATGATATATTATTTTTATAAAACGGAAAAGTCATCAGTTTCTTTGTAATATAAAATATAATCAAAACTGAAATATTCTAATGTGTTTATTGTGTGTAATTCTTAGTTTGAAAAGAAACCAATTGCAATAATGTGAAATATAATGTTCACCAATATTTTATTGCTAAGCAACTTATTCCTTTGTAACCGTTCTGTTCCCCATTCCGATCAAGGTCAGGGAACAGTTCAGGCGAAGGCCGCACAAAACATAGCTTTGCTATTTTCCCAGAGTGTTATGTACCTACAGCTCTACGGGGTACCAAATATTACACAGTTGCTATATGCGTTTGTGTTGTAACTGGGAGTACTAGATTTTGCAATTGCAGAAGTGTGGATTTAGAATGCAGAGTACGACTATTGCTATATCTCTTTAAATATTTGAGTTAAATTATGCTCAAAAGTATTCCTTCCAAATTGAGCATAGTTTAAAAGATAGATTTCATAGTTTTATATGAACATGTAAAATTATGTTCACCAACAAAAAAAACGGACGTAACTTTAAACTTTATTCAACGACAGAGCGTATACAATTAATATCTCAGTGTTTAAGTAAACGAAGGATATAAGAACGAATAAAAATTTGTAACCACCAATAACTTAGGTCTTGCTTAGGCTAGCCACAAACTATCTTCAAATATCATGCTTTAAAGCATCTTGAGGTCTGCTATGTAGAGAACCTATAGTACATTAAGCCTCTAAAGTAAAATGTATATATCGTTGCAAAGAGCGAAATTCATTCATTTGCCAGAAGAAATGAAATTAAGAATATTTCTCAATACACCATGGTCTCATGAGGAGAAACCCCATACTAAATTTGTAATAGCTCTCATTCTTTTTAAATAGTAGAATGCGATTAGTAAACAATAATTAAGTCCTGCCTATATACATCTGAGATTGGATAACGTCTCTTTTTTTTTATTACGTAACAATTTTAGCTAAAAAAACGCGATTTTAAGACAGGAGTATTGGTGACTAATTAAATTTAAAATTGACTGACAAAACTAAGATTTCTTAAGAGATAAGACTGATATGCATTAAATTATGAGGGATATTGATGGAATATGCAGAAACTAGAATTCTATAAACTTTAGGTGGAGTGCAATTTATTATCTTAATGCATTAACAGCATTTGTTCGTAAAGCCAATGCGTGGATTTCCAGGAAATTAGTCATTTATCGTATATTCATAGAGCAAGATATATTATTAGACGTGACATTATTTATGAAATAAGAAATTTTATAGCTTCGAAATTTCATTCATCGTTTTTTTTATAAATCGCATCAATACTTTGATGCGATTTATAAAATTTTACCTAATCGCATTAAAGTGTTTTTATTTAATTATTTTGATCAAATGTTTTGCTTATTTATAAAGAAATACGTTTTTTAACTAACAAAACATATTCATCTTTAATCGTCTGCTTTTATGGGTTTAGCTTAACTAATACTGTATATGCAGAAAAATTAAAATGAACAACTAAGAAATTTGATTTACTAAAGTCACGTTGGTTTATCATACAAATAAAATATGTTTAAAAATTACGAAAATAAAATTACTTGTTTTTTGCAATATATAATTTCGATGTGAATTACAGAACCCTTAGGACGTAAATCAATAATACCATCGTTTCCTTCAGCCTTTTTCCCATAAAAGTTTTCGTATCCTCAATTGACTGGGTAGACATCGTAATTAGTGTGTCCATTAAATCGTCTGTAAGGTTATAAAGCTGCAGGGGATCCCTCCTGGGTGCCGAGACGCTCTTACTCAAGAATATTTGATATTTATCTGAGTAATAACATTAAATAGGAAATGATTTTAATATAACACTGAATATGATGAAGATTAAAACGATATTGAAATCTTTGTAAACTTCGTATTTCATTAATTTCTATGTTGAGATTTTTGAGAAAGTATACTTGGATGACAAACAGGAAGACACATGCTTTGAATACAAATCCAAAAGGGTTGTAAGAAATATAGTCGATGTGATCGAAAATAAAATATATTTAATTTATTTCCAGGTCACAGCACACATTTATTAAAAATGAAATGTTGCTTAAATACGAGTATATTCGAAAATTGTAAATAATTAAATTGTTGTTATGTGTTAGACTATATTTTATCCTGTTCAGGAATTACGAACATATTTTTAAATATTTTATGTACCTTACTTTTTTGAGACATCGTAACATTAGGAATCGAGCATTTGAGAATAGAAAAACCTTAAAAGTTAACTTACAAATGTAGATATAGCTTTAAATTATTAAAAAATAATGATTATGGTTCTCCCGGTATAGATGGCACATTTATTTATTACAAATGTGTTAGCCATATTATACTTTTTCATGTCAGTGTCAATGATTTTGTTTTTTATTTTATTTCTTAATATAATTAGATATTTTCTTAGATCCTTAGTATTATATACCCATGTCAGATGATTTTCTTACGCAATATTAGCCTTATGTTTATCAGTCAATTTGTTAGTTTCAAAAGTAACAAAAATCGTGAATCTTTCAGCGATTATTATAGTTTTGCTTTTTTACGGGATCTACAATTCGACCCAAAAATATTTACAAACGTAGTTTTTTTTAGCAACTTGTATGTTTTAGAGAAATAATATATGCTTAAAATGGACAATGACGTTAACCAAATATGATTTCTCTACTAAATTATTTTCTTTTACCTGTTTAACAATAATGTGGAAATATTTAAGAGGTTTATAAGAAAGTTTTTAAACAAGGTAGTTAAAACATATTTCGTTTAAGTGTTTTGTTAAGTCTCGTCACATGTCTGAAGGTAAATTATCAAATACCTACTGATAAAGCGGCATACCGACATTATCCTTATAGTTTATTTGTCCTTCTACATGAGTCTTCACTTGTTCATCTATTAATGTTTTCAGTCTATTTGTATTTAAAATTCATTTGGTGACCTAGTATTAAACTCTCATTATTTTCTTCTAAATTCGTACCGTGTGTAAATCTAGGTGACCTAGTAAATCTGAAATTGCACATTTTTGATAAAACTTACCGAGTCTCCTTGAAAGCTATTATTAATTCTCCATGATCGTAAAAAAACATAAAAACGTATGAACAATAACAAAATAATCCTAAACGAAGGATGCAGATAAATAATTTTTAGACCTTCACATAACAAAATAATAATACAAGACATAATATAAATAATAATAATAAAACTTAACTAAATGTACAAAACTAAGTAAAACAATTAAAGAACAATAAAGTAATAAAACCAATGGTGGTGGAACTTGGTGGGGATCACCTCCCATACATTACATAGAAATAAAAATATCAACCCCAAAATATATAAAATAAATACTAAAAAATACCAAAGTAAATAAAAAAAAACATTAAAGATCAACCAATAAATAATGCGAACACACATAAAGTAAATTTTCTAATCTGCATCCATCGTTATAAATAAAAAAGTACTTACATTTAGCTGCATCACGATCTTATTGTATGCCCGATGCCATCTTTGCCTCGGAGTTAACTTTGGTTGTTCGGGCTGATACTCCGTTTGATTGTCCTCCGCCCTCACTTGTTCTTCCCTAAAGACACTATCTTCTTCCTGGTACTGATCGTCAGTTTCCTGATATTGTTCCTGATCCTCGTCAAACTTTTCTCTTTCCTCTCTGAAAGTATCGTCTTGGTCTTGATAAGTATCTTCGTCACGATATTCTTCGACATTGTCATCATAAGGTTCCGTATCGTGAAAACCATTAGGTTGTTCCGGGACTTCGTGGTACGTCGTCGTGCGGTCATCTTGAAATGTGACTTTTGATTTTTCAGAAAATAATTCTGTAGAGTGAATAAAAAATTTAAAAATGATATGAAAAATAATATTTACAAAATGGTTTATTTTAAAATCAAATTTGAAGTAAGTTAAGTTCCTGATTTGCTATATCCTGATTATTAAAAAAAGTAAATAAACTATTTCCCTCTTATTAAACTAGATTCTATCTATTGCAGTCTACTTCTTAACATTGGCCGCTCCTAATAAGCACCATAACCCTTGGTTCTCCGCTTTCCGCATCAAATTTACCCTAGTTATCTTTCGCAGGTCGTCCGCTCATTTGGCTGGAGACGTCCTATCTTTTTTTAACCGATTCGCAGTCTCTACTACAGTACATGTGTGTTAAATTAAATAACGGTTGGATATGCATTGTAGCGTAAAATATATTTAATGATTTTTGAAATGTTTTCTTAGTGCTAGTGTTGCAATCACAATGTTAGCACATTGTGATTGCAACATACTAATGTTGCAAATACAATGTAATCACAACAAGTGATTAAATTGTGTAGTTCTTATTTGACTGTAAATTGGTATTTAGGCTTATTCGCTCTCCCGATGGAATACCTAAGCTTTTCATATAAATGATTACCCTTGTGTCATTTTTCACTATTCGGAAAGAGTTTAAATTAGTAATTCAAGCTAGCAAATGATATTGAAGATTTTATAACACGATGTAAGATATGCTACAATTAACATAAAATAGACTCATTCGTTTTAAATCCAAATAAAATCTAGCATCATTAAAAACCATACAAAAAGAGAAATAAAATTATCATAAATTAAGTACCTTCCTGTGTCGTGGGAATGGAAAGTTTGTCTTCATGATGAAAAGAACTTTGCGAGGTTCTACGATCAACAATCGACGGCGTTTGACTGTGATAACTATCTACTGAAGGTTTCCGTATCTGTGATATAGTCTTTGTAGGAGACACCTGCTTCTGCAAACCAGGGCTTGGCACCTCCGAGAAACGTCTTTCTTCAGGAACCTTTTCGAGAGAAGTTTCATGATACTCATCATCATGATACCTATCCAAAGACGTTCTATCTCGGTCTATTGATTGATCGTATTCAGTCTTATGATACTCGTCCTCGTAGGCACTTTCGTCAAAGCTCGACTGAGCTAAGTCTTCCGGTGCGTCTGGTAACGTACGCGTTCGACGCACCGAAGGTCTTTGTATGGACTCCTGTCTTCTCAAAGATGGAGTACGTGGTAGAGTTATGGGTGCTGATGTGGTTACAGTAGTTACTGGCACTAACGGCAATTCTTCAGGGACGGATGTCGTTGTTATGGTACTTGAGAATGGTGTTACGGGGGCTACAGACGATTTAAACTGATTTGTTGTTATGGTGGTCGCTGGTACTGGCGGTGGAGGTTGAACTGACGGAGTCACAGCAGCAGCGGCTGCACCGAAGAAGTTGCCTAGTTTCTTAGCTCCGCCCGCCATCAACGAACCTAAGGTAGCAGCACCAGTAAGTACAGTTGTTTGTAATTGTTGTGCAGGCTGCTTAGCAGGTTGCTGTTGCTGTTGCTGGTATTGCTGTTGTTGCTGCTGCTGCTGTTGTTGTTGTTGATATTGCTGTGGTTGTTGTTGTTGTAATTGTAGGGGTTTTTGTTGTTGTAAGTACTGATTTTGTTGCAGAAATTGTTGGTCTTGCTGATACTGTTGGTCCTGTTGATGTTGGTTCTGATACTGCAAATCTTGATGATATTGAGGTTGTTGAAGGTTAACAGTCTGTTCTTCTTGAAATTGATTTTCAAACCGTTGTTGATATTGACAATCCGTTTGCTCATAGTTCTGTTTGTCTTGATACTGATTTTGATCCTGATACTGCTGATCTTGTTGATCGTAACGATATTGTTGATCGTCATACTGCGTATCATACTGTTGACTATCTTGGTAAACTTCTTGTTGTGTAGTTACCGGCAATTGAGGCAAGAAAGATGAAATCGTTGATGGCACGGATTTCGTTATCAGGGAATCAATCTCGCTAGTAGCAGGGTACGTAAATTGGGATATTGTCTCTGTTTCGTTCCATGTTGCTTTTTGAGCTGAAATGTGGCAAAAAATGTTCACTATACTGTATGAAAATTCTTCACAAAAACAGTGTATTACACGACTGATCATATCTAAATTTTATAAAAAACTGTGAGTCTGTATGTCCTGCATCGGAAACCGTTATCATTCGCTTAATGTGGCTATTTTATTCGAATCACATTATCTGACCATTGATATTGACCTTGACATTATTCATGTAATCAAGAATGTTATTTAATTATAGGAATTCGTTGTTCATATCAATGACAGCATTCGTTCAATATAACTTCTGTGCGTATTACACAGAAACAAGTGTTACCAAATAAACAGACTTTTATAGAATTTAATCCATACTAATATTATAAATGCGAAGGTGTGTCTGTCTGTCTGTCTATCTGTCTGTCTGTTACCTCTTCACGCTTAAACCGTTGGACCGATTCCGATGAAGTTTATTACAGAGAGAGTTTAAGTCCCAGGCAATGACATAGGATAGTTAGTTAGTTTTTATGCCAGAAATAATCCATTAAGGGGTCGAAAAGGGGGGTGGAAATTTGTATAGGGTATCAATAACCGCTGAACCGATTCAGATGAAGTTTGGTTTGGAGATAGATTGGTTGAGTCTCGGTCGTATAAATTGTCCTTTTAAAAATTATTTTTAGAACAAATGACAATTATTTTATTGATTCTTTGAGAATTACTCTGTGTACTTAATTGACGTCTGTTATTTATTATTAACTAACGTATTCACGAAATTATTTATCTTTTTTCGGTTTATTATTTTTTAAAGAAAAGAACGTTTTAAATTAAAATTTTCATTTATCATATTCATCATATTCAATGCGAGCTGTTAAAATTTTGAATTTTTTTTTAAAACTAACCAGCGGCTGGTGGAGTGGCATGTGGGGTCTCGTCGAAGAATGGGTGCATTCCATCTTCATCGTAATTACTGTAACCAAAAAAATTATATACTTTTGTCTCGTAAAAAAGTAATAATAACGACTTGACACATCTCATATACGTAGGTCGCATTCACCGTGAAACACAACCAGAGATAAAGCTCCTCATTTGCATTTCCATTGTCTTAAATGTGCTGGTAGAATTAAGTTAAAGTATTTATTCTACCTTTACAACTTGAGAGAAGATTATATCTTGAAGTTTTTATTTTTTATACAACTCATCCGACTTTATTACAATAAACCCTTTGTGTAAATCTCATTTATATATTGATTGCATCATCACAAGAAAGAATATTAAGAAGCATTACATTTGCATCAAAAGTGAAATCTAGCTTATAATTCTACGACATTTAAGCAAGGATGATCAAGATTCACTTTTTGTCTGTGATTACACGGTTTGGTAGGAGATCAGTACTCTTAAGATCATTTCATGAGCATTATATCTAGTTTGGAACCATAAAAATTGGCACAAACAGATGGCAAACTGTAATATAATCAGTAGTAGGTGCAGTCTAAGGTAAGGAATATAAATAAGTAGTATTGCTAGTAATTCACTATGAGATAGAAATCCCATAGTGGATTCCTAGAAAGTACTAGCCTTAAGTATGAAACACCAATGGGTGCTTCATACTAAAGGCGATGCGTGTGCTAGTTTTGCTTAGTTGTATGCTTAATTAAAACCTTCAGGATATTAAGTTGTGACCAAAGATAGCGGTAAATAAAATGTGTATATATTACCTTGTGTTAAAATTATTATCCTGATACTGACTAATGCTTGTGTCTTGGTAATCTTGCTGGTATCCATAGCTATCGTAACCATAGCTCACGTCAGGTATACTCTTTTCGGTTTCTGTCGAAAAAGGTAATTTTCAGCAATTACATAGGTTTCTTTGGATGGTGCCGTAATTTAATATAACAATTTATTTAAGTAAAGTGCGATAGAGATACATAAAAATAAATTAGATTAACATTATTATATTTTAAACAAAAGAGTTTTTTTTGTTGTTTTAATAAATCTAATGAATACTAACAGTAAGTTAGCTCCTTTGAAAGATCGCTAAATACCTACAAAACTGTCTCGACTTAAAATGTTCAAGGGTTGTCACAAAAACGATCACGATCGTAGGTAGCTATGTAAAAATAGTATTCGCTTAATTTAACTGTATTTTACCTACATAGCAGTATCTCTGGTTACCATTCAGTTTGAAATATTGGGTAAAAGGCTGAATAAATAATTTAAAAGGCTGAATAAATTATACATTGAAGAATATTTTATTGCGTTTCGTAATTTCAGTTGGAGAAAATATTGAGAAAAGATTTTTGAAAAATGTAATTCTTACAACCTTTTTTTTTTTAACGTGTGGAAATCCTCTCGGACCGTCACCCCACCGGGGTTAGCGGCGGGGTGGTGTGTCGGACTCGGACCGACTAAAACCACACGGTATGCCACTCTGCGCCTGTAATAGGAGGGATCCGAGAACAGCTGTTATTAAGACATCCGGACCCCTCCTAGCGCCGGCCCGCTCCTGTTGCGGGCCCCGTCTCAAAATTTTCCTCTCTTTAGGCGACGTCCGGCACACGCGGACGCCGCCCCCTCGCGGCTGGCCAAACTAATGCGGGTGGAGGGGAAACCCACACCGTCCACCCGCGGCCACACTCAGGGCGGCATGAGGCGCAGGAAAGCGCGCCTCCGCCGCCCGGTTCGCTGTGCGGCGGATCGGGTCCGAGTGGAGGTCGTCCTCCCGGGCCTTCTCCGCCGCCTCCTTCTGCGAGATTACTTCCTCGCAGAAGGTTGCGACCGCGGTAAAACAACTGTCGCTACTGGCCATGGAGCGTACTACGGCCGGTAGCGAGAGATCCACTCCGATGACTGCAGTGAGGGCCCGGCGCTGCGTCGCCCATGCGGGGCAGACCGCCAGCGTGTGCTGGGCCGAGTCCTCACTGCAGTCGCAGTGGTGGCAGGCGGGGCTCAGTTCCCTCCTAGCGACCGAGTGCAGGTACTTTCCGAAGCAACCGTGCCCGGAAACCACCTGCGTCAGCCGGAAGGTAAGGGTCCCGTGCTGCCGCCCTGCCCGCTCGGCGATGACCGGCTGGAGAGCCTCCTAATTCTTACAACCTGTGATAACCTCTGTGATAGCTGCAGCATTCCATAACGATAATAATGTAATTATACGTAATTTATTCAGTTACATATCTATTTATATTATAAATATAATCATGAACTGACTGGCGGATTCATTGACTGATAAATCAACGCACACCTGAAACCACTGGGTCTAGAAGCATGAAATTTTGCATAAATGTTCCTTAAATATTTTAAATGTGCACTAAGAAGTAACTTTTGGAAATTCGCCCCTTAAGAGGTTAAAGAAAATGTTAAAAGTTTGTATGAAACTAAATCGAAATGTAAAAAAATATATTTGTGCTCATGGTTCGAAATAAGTTTATTGTTTCACTATTTAAAAAAACCATTAAAGTAGATCTTAAAGTTTTTTTAAATAGTTCTGGTCTAGCGTGAGTTGGTCAAAATAATTTATTAAGTTGTCGAATTCGTTTTATGATGCGAGTTTACCCTATTTCATGCAAGGAGTTCTTCTATTAGACGAAAAAAATAGGATTAGCGGATGTTGGTCAAAATTAATGAAATATTTTTTTGTAAAAATTGCACTGAGACTGTTTACACTATGAAAACTGATGGTTCAATGTTCTTGTGTTATAAAATGTACTAAATTAGTTACTTACAAGAACCGTTGTATTGTATACACATCTTACGACGATCAGTCAGTCAGCGAATCAGTCAGATAGACAATCAGTATCTTCTTTTATATATGACCTTTATTGATTAGATATATTTTTATGTATAATATGTATGTATTTACAAAAAAAAAGTATATAAGTATTCAATCGGCCAATCTAACTTTCATAGTACAAGCTCTGCTTAGTTTGAAACTAGATGGCGTTGTGTGTCAGTTGTTCGAAAATAATAATTATTATTATTGTTTAAATCTTCTACGATATCTGATGTCGGCCACTACGAGGACGAAGTCGTGAGCAAAAGCTAGTATATATATTTGTATTTTTTTTTTTTTTCTTTATGAACAAGTATGAGTTGTTCAGTGGCAGACTTAATGCCACAGGCATTTTCTTCCAGTCTAGTGGTGCTGGAATGTGTTTCTGGGATGCACTGGACATTGATATGTAAAGTAAAGAAAATTATTGATAAGTTAGACAGAAACAATGTGATAGATATAGATACATACTTACCAAATACATATACATACATGAATATTTACCTAGTTACATACATACATAACCTATACCTACATATTAATAATATATAAAATTTTAAAGTTGTAATGAATCTGCTAGGGTGTCAAGAATGCCTCGGTAGGCGTGAAATGTCGTGCGGTGTTCCGCAGGGGTCGGTGTTAGGGCCACTCTTGTGGAACATCGGCTACGACTGGGTGCTTCGTAGTGCCATCTTGGATAGTGTAGCCGTCGTGTGCTACGCGGACGACACGCTCGTGACGGCGCGCAGCAAGACGCACCACGAGGCAACCCTGAGGGCCACGGCCGGGGTTGCCCAAGTCGTTGAGCGAATTCGGCGGCTGGGTCTCAAGGTGGCTCTCCACAAGTCCGAGGCCCTGTTCTTCCACGGGCTTCGGAGAAAGCCGCCTGAGGGATCTAGCCTCATGGTAGGAGGCACTCGCATCGGCCTCGAGCCCTCGATCAGGTATCTGGGGCTCGTACTCGATGGCCGATGGGACTTCGGATATCATTTCCGAGGTCTGGTCCTCAAGTTGGTTGGGGCAGCGCGTGCGTTGGCGCGGCTGGGAACCGATGACTCCTGCAGGAGACTCTACTCGGGGGTTGTGCGGTCCATGGCCCTTTACGGGTGCCCAGTATGGGGAGGGGCCCTGAAGGCCAGCAACGTTGCAATACTGCGACGACCGCAGCGAGTGCTGGCCATCAGGATCATAAGGGGGTACAGCACGATCTCCTTTGAGGCGGCGAGTCTCCTGGCCGGAACTCCACCGTGGGACCTGGAGGCGAGAGCCCTTGCGGCTCTGTATCAGTGGTGCAAGGAGGCGCGGGAGTTGGGTCGGTGTCCCGAGATTCGAGAAATCGATGACCGGAAATCCCAACTCCGCCAGGTCATCATAGGGGAGTGAAGGGAACGACTCACGCAACCGAGCGCCGGGCACGCCGTCATCACGGCGGTAAGACCCGTTATGGAGGATTGGCTCGAGAGGCGTCACGGGACCGCCTCATACCGACTGACGCAGGTGATCACTGGGAAAGGATGTTTCGGGGATCAGCCAACGCCTGAGTGCCACCACTGCGATGGCCCGGCCCGTGGACACGGCTCTCCACACGCTGGCAGAGTGCCCGGCGTGGGTTGAGCAGAGGCGAGACCTCGTGGCGGCCATCGGAGTGGGAGTTCTTTCGCTCGATAGCCTGATTGCGGCTATCGTGCGGAGCGAGAGTGCGTGGAACTCTACCGTCTCCTTCTGCGAGCAAGTTATGCTCGCGAAGGAGACGGCAGAGCGGGACCGGGAGAGGTTTAGCTCTCTCCTGGCCCGCCAGGCCCGGGAACGGGCCAGGTACCGCATGCGACTCAGGCGCCAGAGGTCGCAGAATGACCTCCGTTCTCCATAAGCGCAGGCCTGGGGGCGACAGGTGAGGCTATCTGTCACCCTAGCAGAAGCAGGCCGGGGTGGCGGCGAGCGCGTTGCGAAGCGCGCTCGCTTCCAGGGAGCAGAGGGAACATTGGGTTTCCACACGGGGGGGGTGGTCTACTTATTGTAGATGGCACGATGTATGTCGGGGCACCAGGGGCTTCCTTTGTAGGGTATACCTGGTTCCCCGGCTATTAGTACCCGAGACGATGAAAAAAAAAAAAAAAAGGGTGTCAAGAATGCGAGCACGAACTTTCATCTTGAACGAGAGGCGGCTGGGTGCTGTGGCTGGGCTACAAGCGGAAGTATGAGTGGGGCATTGGTTGAAACACAGAAATTGGAATTAAGATGTCTGGTAGGAGGGGGAAATGGGTGAGTTGAGAATAGAATAGAGAGTGGTGAGGGCGAGCAGCTGACGGCGTCGACGGCGCTGACGTTTATCATCCTAGGTGAAGTAAAACTTCTAAATAAAACGTAGGAAGGTATATCTTAATGTACAAGTAGGTAGGTTTCAAAGCGTAATAGGTGAATAGCTGCAAATAGTCAAGATGAAGTGAGGCCGAGGATCAATTACCTAAAATGTAATATGTTGATTTAAATTCAAGCTTTTTTCTTCTTTGTATAAAATAAACTAGCTGACCCGGCAAACGTTGTTTTGCCATATACATTATTTCTAGGAAATATTGAAAAAAAAATAGGAGTGGTTCACCCTTGTCATTTAGGGGTATGTAAAATAGATTTTGGCCGATTCTCAGACATACTCGATGTGCACACAAAATTTCATAAAAATCGGTCCAGCCGGTTCAGAGTAACTAACATTGTGACACGAGAATTTTATATTTAAGATAATAGAAAATATTACACTATTTATTTTAAAGGTCTATTTGAAACCGAAATTACTAGTATTCCCGTTAACCCCTCCCGCTTAACTAAATTGCTTACGTTAGGAGTGGATTCACGTCGGTAGTGTACTGGTCAGGATTTGAACCCACGACCTCTTGATCACATGTCCAATGCCTTAGCCACTAGGCTACCCTCGCTTAAATGCTTGTAATTTCTAAAACACTTGTAGCCATAGGACAAACAAACTTAACTTAAAACGTTAGTTGAGGTGACATTATAGTCATGACTTGTGACGTAGCGTGTTGACACAGTAATGGACCACGATTATTACATCATCATCATCATCAGTCAATCGCAGTCCACTGCTTGACATAGGCCTTTAGATCGATTCTCGGCTTCTCGAATCCAGCTCCTACCAGCCATCTTTCGCATATCGTCACTCCGCCTAGCCTGTAGACATCCTACACTACGTTTACCCCAACGCAACTTCAGCTTGCTAGTCTGGAGGGCTATATCGGTGACATTGGTTCTCTCATTTCGCCTTACAGATTCCTTACAGAAAACTCGAGCATAGCCCTTTCCATGGCACGCTGAGCGACTGTAAGCTTGTAGACTGCAAGCCGTACCATAAGTGTCCACGTTTCGGCTCCGAATGTCCTAACGGGACGCACTCATTGAAGACTTTCGTCTTTAGGCACTGTGGGATTGACAATGAGAAGACTCAACATAGCTTTCGAAACGCGGCCCAACTCAACTGAATTCTTCTATTCACCTCGTTGTCAATTCACCTATGTCAATGGGAGCAATCAAGTCCATGTGCGGCAATGGGTATTCATCAGATAATGGTAAAACAATGATATTTCTGTGTAATATCCGGTTAGTGCCTGTTACTCTATCGAAATATGATTAGATGAAAGATGTTGAGCATTCATCTGAACCTATAGAAGAAATGGAACCAATCACTATAGTAAAGAAAAATCACTAGTGCCATCCAGTCATTCCAATTAAATTCCATTAAAATTATAAGGCAGCAGACGTTCTGCACAACTAGTGACTTCAATGGCTTCTAAGCTCATATGATCAGTTAGCATCTCAGTTGCAAGCTTTGTATTCGTATTCATTGTTCAACAATTATCAACTCTCATAACTTTATAAATTTGGTAGACTCAAGAAGCCTAACAATTGCAGACCCATACCCACGGTGTATGAAGTCTACTTTGAGAGTAAAAATAACAACGCACTTTTTTAAATGAATAAATAATAAAATAATAACAAAATCCTTCTTCTTTTCCAGAAAGCAAGAAGAAATGAAAAAAATATGTAAAAACCTGGCGAATTGTTGGATAGAGTATAAGAAGGACAAAAACACAATTGCAAATACAAGACTTGTAAGAACAACAAAGGTGTGTAAAATTGACACTATTTCAGATAAACAACCTTTCGTATGGATGTGCGAATGCATAGACAGAAAGTCACAGTAGAAAATGACTCTCCGAGTGCTCTGACTTAAGGGAACTGTTGTAAAGTGTGTCTTAGTAAGAGTGCACTTTTTAAATTAAGAATTATATTTTTTCATGCAAGCGGCAACTCTGAAATTTGACAACTGTCACTTATTCCGATTATCCGAAAGAACAACGCTTTATAATTGTGAAAACTCATTACGAAAATAGGAAAAGTTACGCTAAAACCTCTCGCAAACTTCGTCAAATTTTCAGTCGAGAAAGTGCACCTAATGTGTCAACCATTCAAAGAGTGGTCAAAAAATTTAAAGAAATGTACCGGTCGGTCTCTTGAAAACATTGCTGCTGTAAACGAGAGTGTCGCCGAAAACCCGAAAACATCAATTCGGCATCGTTCTAAACAATTTCAAATTTCATGAAGCACTACGTAGCGAATTTTGACAATAGACCTCCACCTTCATGCGTACAAAATTCTGCTAACTCAGGAGCTCAAACCAGCAGACCATGAAAAGCGCCGGCAATTTGTTTAATGGGTAGTCTTAGTGAGTCGATGCGAATTTTTCAAAAAAAAGGCATCTTATCCGATGAAGTGCATTTTCATCTAAATGGCTACGTGAATATACAAAATTGTCGAATTTGGGGCTGAGAAAATCCTCTTGCAATCCATGAGAAACAAACGCACCAATAACGAGCAACTGTCTGGGGCGCATTTGGGTGACCCGGCGTGATTGGGCCTTACTTTTTTGTAGATGCCGTAATTACAATGACTGTGAACAGTATTCGTTACAGGAATATAATAACGGCGTTCTTGTGGCCTCAACTGGACGGCATGGATTTGTACAACATGTGATTTTAGCAGGACGGCGCCACCTGCCACACCGCGCATGACACACATTATCTCACGAAATTCTGATGTGAACTTGCCACCAAGATCGTGCGATTTAACACCGTGCGACTTTTTTCTTTGGAGTTTTATGAAATTTCGGGTTTATGCGAACAAACCAGAAAAAATCCCTGAGCTTAAATCAGAGATCCAACGCATCATCGGTCTGATACAGCCACATCTCTGTGTAAAAGTCATTTCATGAAAAGAGTAATAGCCTGTCATCAGAGCCGTGGGGGCCATTTGCCGGATACGAGTACTTTATTCCATACTTAATAGTAACATGTCTTCTTTACAATCCAATATAAATATCACAACTCTTTAATTAAATACATGTTTTTATTTTTACTTGGGGGTGTAACACGAGAGAGGAGGGATGTGTCAAGAACTCTGATGTCGTTTTTGTCTCTAATAGTCTCTAACACATTTAGACTTCATCTCATAGAAATTCATCTCTTGACTAAGATTTGGTCCCACCATTGATTAGTTTATTTCGTTTGCATTATTATGAACAAAGTTATTGTAATTAATAGCTAGAACTTGGTACGATTGAATTAATGGAAATTAGGCATATTATTTCTGGTTGTTCTCGTGTTACCAAAAGTGCAAATATCCAGAGATACAGCCAAGTGACCAGAATTTAACATCAACTACTTGCCTTCTTTGTGTGACTTAAAAGATACCATATTAAGTACTAACCTCAACCTCAACAAACTCTCCACAAGTTCAGGTTAGGAGGCTGGATTAAAAGCCTGATGCAAATTGCATTGAAATAAAATTGACGAATCATACGAGTAGTTCTTCCATTTTACTTTCATTACAGCTTGTATGAGAGATTAATCATTAATCTAGATTTGATACCATTTTGCCACCTTCAGGGTTTTGCTTTTGATTTTTTTTCATTTTTACTTACGCCTAGATTTATTTGAATTCATTTAGTGGTTTCAGCGTGATGCGTGTCAAGATACAGACAGACAAAAATATATACTATTCATTTGATACTATTCATATCATACATACAATAAATAATGACCTCATAATAAAAATTATCGTGTTCATTGCATAGCAATGATTATTATTTGTATGTCATATAATAAATATAATATACAACACAGAATGCTCACCGGATACGTAAGGCACGTGCGTAGCTATAAGCGTGGAGGCTGAGGGCACACGATGATGCCGAGTAAGCGCTGTTGGCGTCTGCGTCGTCAGCTGGGCTTGTGACGTCAGTGAAGCAAATGTCGACGTCATTGTTGAGAACGATGACGTTAACGGAGGCGGCACAGGTGGAGGCATAGGCAAACGACGGCCGCGAGCACCACGAAGTGAGCCTCCGTCGCCTGCAGGTGGTACAGGAAGCGCTCGGCCTCGTTTGGGTGTAGAGGATGGCGTCGCTGCAAATAGTTGGTTCACGCAATGCTCAAGCAGCCTTACAGATTTAGACATACGCTGGCAGACAAAATACAACCACAAAGCAACATTGATAAAACATGATTTTGTTTAAGTTACATAAGTTACAGATATGTTTTATTATTGATGTTAGTCAATTGGACTAACTACGACAACGTACATGTAAAAGGTTAACAACATGAACAGACGTAGACGACGTAATCTATTTATAAAAACACTGAACATGATTTACTGCTATTTTATCTGTCCGGATATATTTTATTCAAAGAGCAGGAGAATGAACTTTTACGTCTTATATTCATTAACGGAATTTCTAAGAGTATGTTTATTTACTTTATTTAACCTTCTTTTCTTACCTGGCAGGCTTGCAGCTGTACGTCGCGGCCGTGGTCTGTACGGAGCCATCTCGTTATAATCCGAATATCGAGATGATGGCATCGACTGTAATAAGAAAAAACACACAAGTCGAATATTTTAGATTTGGATATAATCCTAAGGTTAAGTGGATGTTTTCCATTTTCAAGGTTTATTTTTATAATATTTGTCGGTTTTCTAGATTTATTTTAAAGAAAGATCTATATTTTAAATTTTACAACTGTTCATTATTAATATTTTAAGTTTCTCAACTGTCATCAGTCTACTGACCATGATCGGTGAAAGTAAATAAAACTTAATGTTTCAGCCAAAATTATTTCTTCAAGCAGGCGTTAATCCGTTATCACTTACGATAAAAAATGATGAAGAAACGAAATTCTATCTTTTTTCATCTTAATTTGTTCATAACAATTGCAATTTTTTTATATCCATTCAATGCAATACATACTTTCGATACATTTTTCTAGACGTTCATCCCAATCGAATGAGCTATCGATCCATATTTGAGGAGCTTTATCAAAATTAACACGTTTTTGAAGTTATTGACTAGCCTATCTAGGTACTTCGCCAGTCAGTCAAGGAAATCAAATCTGCTATGAAACTTCAGTATTGAAAATATCTAACCGGTTTATGTGGCACTTGTGGTAACCTGCACGACTGATGAACGTCTTTTATTGACAATGTTTCTCATAGTCCGTAGGTGTCAGTCCATAGCCGTCATCATAAAAATACTGCCCACCGCTATCCCCACTGTCGCGGAGTCGTCCCCCACGTAAGTTGTTTGGTAGCAAAACTGTTGGAATCGAAGTACTCTTCGTAACTGGCTTGTTGTGATACATGAGAGTGGTCCCTGAAAAAAATATTGAAATGCTGTAGTAAAGAGTTTCGAGAATAATATATTAAGGACGTACATATTTGAAAAAAGAAAACTGTAGCTTATTGTAAAAAATAGAATAGAATATGCTTACTTGTACACCAATTACAAAAAGACAGATAATATTATAGACGGATATGTACAATGGGCGGCTTTAAATGCTTAAAAACAATCTCTTATAGGTACAAAATACAGGCTTGACTAGTTTGTAAAAAAAATATGCTTTTAAAAGAAATAAGAACAGAGTAGCCATTGATAATTGCTAGGTTAAAACCTAAGAGATTAAAAAAAATATGTCATTCAGAGACAGAAATATTGATTAACTGATGCAATAAACAACTTTAAGTAGGACAATGGATTCTGACTAAACGCAGAAAAAAAAAAGACATACGTTTAGTGGTTTGGTTTTGCGTTTCTGAATTTTATAGTATTTCCCTTTGGAATTCGTTTGTATTCTAGTACCCACTTCTTGTTTTTTGACGACAATCATTAACTGTTGTTTACGCTTTGGCGTTTAATCATTTAACAAGTGTATGCAAATTTGGTTGACACACATTTCGTCTTCAAAATACGTATTACCTGAATTTATCAGATTTCTGGTATTTATAGTTACCTAATGTGTGTAGAAGCGCTGTACATTTCATAACTGTAGCCCACGTTGTCATCATACAGCGTCCCTTGTCGCTCTAGACCTCGGCTGACGTTGATCCTCTGTAATTATTTTTAAATTAAGATACTAGTTCAAAGGTATAGAATATTCTAAAACTTTCTAAATGTAAACAATATGACATTCGGTTGCGGTAAATTTATTATTCGTAATATTAGCTTCCAATCTTTCACATTTAATGGTGTATAATTATGTTGCGTAACTTATAATCTAAGCACATTATATTATTATTATCGCTCCTTTTTCATATAATTTTTTGTGAAACTTAAAGTTACCCACCCACAGATTGCCAGTCAGCTGCAGTCCGCCACGATATTGCAGATTCTATACTTGCTTGTGCGTGTAACTGTGACCATGTTTCTAACCTGTAATCATAAAAGGAATAATTTTTAATAACTTTATTTTTTTGTTATTTAAACTCAATTTTAGGGAATTTAAACCTATTCAGGAGAAATATCGTTATGACTTAGTTTTCGTCGATCAATCAAAGGACAGTTAAAGAGATAATTTATTCTATGACAACGTAATTATTTTTATTCGTGTGGAAATCCTCACGTGACATCATCTCAACTGGGGTCACAATGAAACGGTATGTCAGAATCTAGCCGACTGAAACCACACCAGAGTACCGCACCGTCACATATGAGTCTATTGCAAGGGACTTGGATATACCTTTGGAAGGAAGTCTCCGAGAAACGTAATTATAATAGAGATTTATTGGGAAAACGATACTATAGATATTCTTCGTCAAATCCCAAAAGTCCTATTTAAACATGCCCATTAACAGTTTTAATATTGACTCACCCTATTAGTCCTCGGTTGGCTATTGTAATAGAGGGGATCTGTATCGCCGTGCATATGATACTCATCCCTTTCATTTTCGTACGAATTCTCCCGTGAAACTTCCAGCGATCTCTGGAAAATTACATTTTTTTATTAGTTTACAAGTGTTAAACTAAATATTTCATAGAAGCATTGGCGTCTTTAGCACTTCTAAAAGACTATAGTATTATTTCTACTAACCCAATTGAATATGATTGAACACAAAGTATGAAAACATTTCAAATAAATATCATGTGTCACTCTAAAGATTAATAAAGTGAGGGAAAATGATTGCTGGATATATGTATTTTAGAATATTATGAGATTTTTAAATACACGCAGTACCCTAAGTATAGCAAGATCATCAGGATATACCTGTAAAACTACAAAGAGTAAATGAACCAACGGCATATACCAGCTTGAAATTAATTTGAACATCATATTCCTTTAAAAAAAAATGTGTTAAATTTTCTTTATTACTACAAACCATTTACTACAACTTATGATAATTTGAATAAAGTATTTTTTTTTAAGTATTTAAAATATGTGCACATGTGCCTAATGTAATTAATGTTTTCATAACAATAGTTCGCAATAAGTACATTTAGTTTCATAATTTGTAGCTTTTCACAATGTACAATACAGTACTATTTAAAGCAGAAACTAATATAATATCAAATGCCAGTTTTCTCTACAAACCATCTCTATGGGAAACCCTGTAGTTTTACATAGTTTTAGGGTGTCTGTTCAATAGAAATTATTACCTGTGGTGTGTGCATCTGATGCGCGGCGCTTCGGAACTGTGACGCGCTGCAGTTGGCATGCTGCCCCACTGGATAGTTGAGGTCAGAAGTGTAGTCCGAGTCTTCTGAGTACCCCGCTATAATTTAAAAAAATAATCACATTCATTTTGAATATAATACATATTTAATAAGTACAGACGTTACTGAGAAGCTAAAGAACTTGACTGCACGGATTCCTACTGCGCTGAATGTTGTGGGTTTGATCCCAACATAGGACAATATTTTGTGTGATCCCAAAATTGTTCTTCTGAGTATGGGTGTCCGTTTCATGTATGTTTGTAAACCCCAACGACAGAGGACGTATTCGTAGAAATACTTGCAACTGGTTAAGTAACAGTATAAACTAATATTTATTTTTATTCAACCATTTTAAATTTTAATCTTCACCTAATTCTCAAACATTAGCTTTGCTCTCTGTGTGTATATGTAGTTGGGATAACAATACTCTTAGCATCTTAGAATTGCTCTGTCGATGTTGTTAGAAGACCAGAGGAAACGCTTCTGTGGTTATTAGTAAGCAAAAGGTCAGGGTTATTAATGAAGAATTGTAAAACCTTTTTTAATTTAGTTCACTATTAAGGTTCTTTCTAAAATATCATTCACTCAATTCAATTTAATTTTTGGAACGAAGTTCCTTATCGCGCGTGGTGAAAGGGGCTAGACGGAAAAAAATCTCACGAAAAGTTGTAACGACACTTGTCAGTCATTCAGCGCCATCTATCGAATAGATAGGAAATCATTACTTTTCATCTCAGTAAAATAAAAATTTATGGTCTTAGGTTGAGCAAAAAATATTGTGTTCGACATCATTTCTCATGGAGATTTTACCAATGTATAAATTATTTTAATTAGAAACCAACTGTAAAATATGTAGGTAATAGCCGCTTTCATAGATGGCGTTGTAATTAAAATCGTGTCGAATCAGTTTTACTCGATCGTCACAACTTTGTTCCTATCGGGTGTCCCACGACACCACACGGCTTTTTTTGGAAGTGTTTAGTTTTACTAAAGTATCATTGTAATATATAAAGGTACATTCAGTCTTCAGAACTCCAAAATTTAGCAGGAGCTTCAGCAATTCACATTTTAAGCATTCCTATATACGAGTATAAAGCTTATGCAGAAATTGTATACGCTAGGCAACAATTCGACAGATCGTGTTTTTGGTGGACGGTGCGATACTAACGGATTACACGAACAATTCAACTCATAGTCTAAAATAATAACAATACTGTAAAAAATAAATAAAACACCGCTAGTGTTATTTAACTATTCCTATACTTATTAACTATTTATGCCGAGTCGTCAAAGATAACACTTAGGACATCTTTCAATAATATTTTCGAACATCTTACTCACAACGCCATCTGGTTTCAAACTAAGTAGAGCTTGTACTATGTAAGCTAGTTTGGCCGATTGAATACTTATTTACTTTTTTTTTGTAAATACATACATCTTATACATAGAAAACACTCAAACTCCCAAACAGATATTTGCAGATCATATAAACATTTGGTCCGACCCGGGAATCGAACCCGAGACCTCAGCAAAGCAGTCGCATACGCTACCACTGCACCACCGAAGATTGTTGTCAGCAGTCTTCGAGTAGATAATCGTGTGACAAATACAAGCCAAAGTATTTACTAAGTTTTTGTGTTAAATAATAAGTTACGTAATACAACTCTTCAACAGCAATCATTGAGTTGCGGTTTACCACCTCGCCTAATGGAAGGGCCTTCTTTTGTACAAGAACATTAAACTCTGTTTTTTTTTTATTGATTTAACTTCAACTTTATTTTATGAACGTGACATTCTTTGTCCCCCAAAACCGGGTTGATGGTTTGACTGGTGGATCTCATCACACACATCACATCAACAGCCTTTAATAGTCCACTGCTGGACATAGGCCTCTCTTTAAAAAGGAGGTTTTGGCCTACTATACCACGCTGGCCGGACAGGTAAGTAGTGAGTTTATGTTAAGCTTTCATTCTTTTTGCAGTGCTATTGTCCTTCGTACTTTGCTCCCTTAGTCGGCTCTTACGACACCCACGGGATGAATAGGGGTAGTGACATTCCGTATTCTTAATCCGTCACCACACGGATAGATTAATCTGAAATTGCGTTGTAAATTATTTTTTCTCTACTATTTTTTGTCTGTCCACCGAACAGTCGTTACCAAGTGTTTAAAGACACTTGGTAACAACTGTTAATTATGAATGATAATTTTGCATTTAATTAGCTTCGATGTATTTTAAGCCGTCCTAAGATTGGTTTGAAATATAAAAGTGACACCTATATAGTAGAACCCTTGCAAATATGCAACTAAAGAACATAGAAGTACATACACAAGAATATTTTATTTCATTTCAGTATCATTTCATTTACAGCCAAATTTAAACAAAAAACTGTAAAATACAAAGTATAATTAATTTATGATCTAATAGGAAATTATAGATGAATTGAACTACAACAATAAGAGATTTTACTATATAAATTTAGGAATAAAAACATACTAGTATAATAGCAAAGGCAAGAGGCAACCCGAAAGTGTTAGATTTAGTTCATAAATTTAGATTTTTTTCAAATAAGCGAAATAAAAGGCAAGTCTCCGTTACATTACTTTATTAGTTTAGTAAAAATAAAAAAGCAAATTAATTATAAATTTTGTTTGTGTATTGTGTCCCGAGTACTTATCTAAACAAAAATGAACAACGGTTCCTGTAGAGGCAAAAAGTATTATCCAGTGAAAGTTCTTTCATTTGAGGATTTTATGTTGCAAAATTATAGAATATAAAACCCTCGTAATTGGTGATGATGATGAAACTCCATCTTCGTCACCAATTACGAGGCTTGTAACTTATCATAAATTTAGAAGAATCAATGCTTTGACGTTATCACGAACGAGCAACTAGCGTTAAAATTATTATTTAAACAATAATGGGGCGTGCGTCGTAATTCATCCTACACTATGAGTCGCCCGCCCTTATTCTTTCAATATTATTTTGGCAAAGTGAGTCTTAGTTATTTAGAGGTTATGTCATGGAGTAAATTATAAACATACAGTGAGCAATATACTGCATCTGACGGCGCGCCTGTTCGGCCCTCTCAGTTTCCAATGTGCCATTGAGAAGGTCCAGCTTGCGCTGCAAGTCCGAGCCTGTAGCTTCTGCGTCTGTAACCAAGAAAATATTATTTTTATATAAAATGGAATGATTAATGCACATTTATGGATTTGTAGCAACTATAAGATTCTGTTCATCTGTGCGAAGATCATCATTTCTTTTCTAAGACAATGTTTGAAAGAATGAAGACAGAAAAATGTAAATTAATTTCTTTACAACCATCATAAATATTTTTACTTTTTTCAAACTTCAGGACGGTTTATGGGCAGACCTTCATTCTTTTCAGATCTTATTTTTTGTTTAATACATATAACATTTTTCCTTCAAGTACTAAGTACATGAAAAATAAAACTATTATATCTTAATGCCTATAACATAGTAATGTTACTAAGTAGGTACCTCGATTTGAAAATTTCTCTTGAATACTTACTAATGGTAGAAGTTTTTTGAGAAAATTAATAAAACAGGTGCTCAGAATTTTTAAATGGTGTTCTTTATAAAACGGTAACTTGCAAATCGTAAAACAATATTCAGACAAATTCAAGTGGCTTATAGCTTGTGCTTTGTGAAATTAAATTAATTAAGCAATATAATTAGTCTGTAAATCTTAAAGAAAAACATTAGAATTCACAAATTACTGTAAGTGTAACGAACCTTGTAGATATGAAACATTAAATGTTTCTTATTACTGCTCATTTTGAACTCTAAAGCGTTAAGTATTACAATTTCTCTGAATGCGTTAACCTCAAAAACATTAGCCGTATCAGTGAATATCATTCAACGCCGTTGAGAGCTGGTAGAGACCATGAAATGACTGGATATGTTTCCGATGCTTCTGATATCTACTATTGAATACGCTTGTGTTACAAATAACCTAAGTTAAAGAAATTTGGAAATAACTAACCTTGCAAATGTATTTTTGATATTTTATTTCTTGCGTAAGTATTCGGAGGATAAAAAGAAGTGTATTGGTACTAAGCACCTGTTATTATAGAGCATGAGTAGCAAAATTTTGTATTTTGGTAAAAAAAAGGTAAAGGCACAGCACTATAGCCGCACAGCTATTTATACTCATGAATTATATTTTTTGAGAACCGTTAAAAGAGAAGAGATGGTCTAAAGAATACAGAAATAACAAAAAATCACTCTTTGGGAATTAAATCACAAAGCAATACTTTATGATTTAGTACACAAAGAGTGATTTTTTACCTATTAACAGAGGTTCTGGAACAATAACCTATACTATAGCTATACTATAAATAATAATGGATTAATTTAAGTATTGTGATTGGTGTGAGGTGGGCCCCGATCTGTCGGACGCCCAATTCAGTTTTCGAACGGGACGTTCGCCGTGTCAACAGAGCCAACAGAGCCTTCGGACTGTGACCGAAGAGACGGTGAGCTGTGGTGGCGTGCTGTTGGCCATGTCGTTGGACATCGCCAATGTATTCAATAGTCTGCCATTCAGCTGCATCACACACACACACACATACACACACACACGAGGTGCCACAGTACCTGAGGCGGCTAGTGGCAGACTATTTAGAGGAGCGTACCGTCGTGTACGAGGACCGAAATGGCGTTTTGGGTCGTCGACCCGTGTCGTGCGAAGTTCCCGAAGTAAGTTAAGTACACGAGTGGCGTGGGGGACACTCGCTAAGCCACGATGGCTCGTTGGTCATCCCGGCTGCAGGCTCCACGAGCTGGTGTCGCACCCTCCATTTCAGGCGAATAGTGGCACACCGTCTAATTTTAGTCGGTCCGATTCCAACAAACCACCCCGCCGGAAACCCCGATGGGGTGACGGCCCGAGGGGGTTTCCATACGTTAAAACAAAAGTATTGTAATCGGAAAAGTGATGGACACAATAATATAGAGTGCTGTACCATATTAACTATTTTTTAGGAAAATTAAAAAATAGTAAGACAAAGAAAGAAAGAAAATACGTTTTTTAGTCACACCACACACAAAAAAAAAATATATTATAGAATTCCAAAATAATTACAACAACAGTTAAAAACACCTTACTGTTTAATTATTATTTTGACGTCTTCAAAATTAGAAGAATAGCAACACAACAGGCCTATATGCAAATTTATAACACCACCATAAGTCAGCTGTAATCACTAAAGTTTGCTCGTAAAATTAAAATAATTTCTTCAAGTTTATTTTTACAGAAATAAGGTCGAAATTTGCATATCCGGGTGAGGCAATCGCCTCTTCCATAACATGTGCCACCAAATACTAAAACTATTTATGCGCTAATTTAATTACAGACCTAAGTTTACTGTCTCTATAAATAATGATTTCTCAAAAAGGATGCATGATTAAAAATTATAAAAGGTTAGACATACTTATTATCCTATAAAATTCAAATTTAAAATATATTTAATAAAAAAAGTAAAACTGATTAAAATCACGTTTTATGTAGACTCTAAAGTCGTACATCAACACACACACAATAGCAACAATCTCTGTTTTTTTCAAATAGCAAAATAAATTTAATAAAAATTATACTATTACAAAATCTATGATATGCCTGTGATGATCAACAATCCCGTTTTCAAAGGGGTTGCCTAACCCCTTGAAAACGGGTGTTATGAGAAGAAAAGGCAAACAAACTCATGGCTACTCTTTTGCAATTTACAGATAAATACAATGTCATCATTAAATATACCACAAGATTGTTTTGATGTGTGCCAGTATGTGCGATAAGGAATAAAGCGTAAAAAGACAATAAAGAGAAAAATAATATTTAGAAAAAACATCAAATAACAGAGAAAGTGAAGTGAAACATAAAAAATTGAAAAAACAAAAACAAAAAACACCCTATCCCACATCACATTTCCACTTAAGAAATAGCCTGCGCTAAATTACTCGCAAGCATTTTTGTCTTATATGTGTCCACAATTGAGTAATAGGTTTTCTGACATAATTTACGTTTTATTGAGGATTTAAATTTGTTAATACTTAAGTCTTGAATTTTATTTGGGATTTTATCATAAAATCGGGCACACTTCGGATCTCATTGATCGGATCGGATTCCACTACAAACCCCACCGACAGCCAGCCTTAGGTGCCCTACTCTGGGAGGACCTGGGTCATACTATTTCAGGTCCTCCCCGAATTGACACCATGCCTAATCAGGACCTATCCCGGGGAAAAAACTTCCCCCGTCAATCGCAGCGTGGCGGCCTAATTGCGTCTTAATGCAATCATCCTATCCCCTACTGAGCAGTCAATCTGCCACCAGAGGTCCCGACTCTCTGGCGGCCTGCAGCCCTGTCGGCGGCTAGTATCGTCGTCGATATCGTCAGCTCTCTCCCGATCCTGATCAGCGGTCCCGCGACCCCGTCCCTCCTCACCCGTAAGCTTGGTATTTATTGAATGTACATCACTTTTTTTTTAAAAGCTATCCTTGTTTTTATGAACGTATATTACATTTATATATATATATATATATGACATGACATTGACATGCCACAGTCATTATGTTTAATTCTTTAAATTTCTGCCTCAGTGAAAAACAATTGTATACATTATAAAGAGTTCGAATCACTCTCTTTTGCAGTACAAAAACAGTCTTAATATCGCCAGCATTCCCCCACAGTAGAATACCTTACGACATTGTGCTATGAAAATAACTGAAGTTAACAAGTCGTGCTGTATCAACATCAGTCAACTGTCGAATCTTTCTTACTGCGTATGCTGCTGAGGTCAGTCTACTCGATAATTTATCAATATGTAGGCCCCACTGTAGCTTAGAATCTAGTCCTATACCTAAATTCTTAATGATCACAGTAGTTTTATACACTTAGTTTTTTGTTCATTTAAAAGCAAATTGTTGACGTCAAACCAATGGACCACTTTCATCATTAAAAGCGTAGTGTTTAATTTATGCACCTTTTGTAATCTTAGTCGGGTTACAATAGCTGTAAAGCTAAGGGGGGTTATAGGGGATCGTTTAGGCGAGAATGACACCTCATACAATTTAGGAAGTGTGTGTTTATGAGCAGACTGAAAGCTATACAAAGATTTACTTTACACTTACTGCGCCCCACGGGGTTACTCACGCTTTATCAGATACATTAAAACATGTATTATCACTATAACTCATCCCCTGAGAACACTATATTTTTTTGGGATAAACGTAGCCTAGTGGTTAATCCAGGGTGTCAGGTGCCTAATATCAAATTTTATCAAAATTGGTCCAGTTAAATATGTGCAAACATACAAACATATTTGTGGTCGGTAGACCAGATATTTAATCGTGTTAAGAGAAATATTTATATCGTATAGGAGGATAATTATAGTCGTACTACATATAGACTTAGAGTTAATTATAGCACATACAAGAAGACTCAAAAATTAAACGTATCAATATAGTCAACCTTGGGCAAACTTCATGATTTCATACGCGACTACAATAAAGAGTCTACATCATATGAAAACCGTAACAGAATTTGCGTAATTGATAAAGCCTTTGAAAGTTCAGCCAGACTGTTTCAATTAAAATGAAAACTAATTGCTTACTTCAATGTTTATTGAAAATCGGTTTCCATATTTACGGTAGTAGTACTCAAATTAACACATTTGTAAAATGGTAAATTATGAGATGAGTATAAGAGAAGGAAAACTTGAAACAAACCCTTTTTTTTTTTTTTTTTTTTTTTTTTTTTAACGTGTGGAAATCCCCTTCGGACCGTCACCCCTCCGGGGTTTGCGGCGGGGTGGTGTGTCGGACTCGGACCGACTAAAACCACACGGTGTGCCACTCTGCGCCTGTAACAGGAGGGATCCGGGAACAGCTGCTGTTAAGACATCCGGACCCCTCCTAGCGCCAGCCCGCTCCTGGTGCGGGCTCCGTCTCAATGTGGATGTTCCTCTCTTTAGGCGACGTCCGGCACACGCGGACGCCGCCCCCTCGCGGCTGGCCAACTAATGCGGGTGGAGGGGAAACCCACCCCGTCCACCCGCGGCCACACTCAGGGCGGCATGAGGCTGTGATAGCCGGGCCTCCGCCGCCCGGTTCGCCGGCGGCGGATCGGGTCCGAGTGGAGGTCGTCCTCCCGGGCCCTCTCCGCCGCCTCCTTCCGCGAGATTACTACCTCGCAGAAGGTTGCGACCGCGGTAAAACAACTGTCGCTACCGGCCATGGAGCGTACTACGGCCGGTAGCGAGAGATCCACTCCGATGACTGCAGTGAGGGCCCGGCGCTGCGCCGCCCATGCGGGGCAGACCGCCAGCGTGTGCTGGGCCGAGTCCTCACTGCAGTCGCAGTGGTGGCAGGCGGGACTCAGTTCCCTCCTAGCGACCGTGTGCAGGTACTTTCCGAAGCAACCATGCCCGGAAAGCACCCGCGTCAGCCGGAAGGAAAGGGTCCCGTGCTGCCGCCCTGCCCACTCGGCGATGACCGGCTGGAGAGCCTCCACGGCGGAAACCCTATACTAACCCGTCTGGACAGCGTGTTATAGTAAAACCTCCTTTCTAAGGAGAGGCCTATATCCAGCAGTGGACTATTGCAGGCTGTTGATGAAATTGTGAAAGGATTGTCCTCACCTTGCTATATCGTGAATGAAAGACAACCACATAGACAATGTTATTACGTCAAAATAACTTTTCATTCCAAACGTCACTTTTATGCCTTTAATATATTTTTTAAACTGTCAACGAGATAAAGCAACTAAAAATGCAAT